AATATACATATTATATTATTAATAATATAATTAAATAAATAATTTGTAATATAAAAAATCAAAAGTTATATATATTTATATATGTCATAAATTTTATATGATAAATAATAGATGAAATTTAGATTTTAATTTTATAAAATAAATCTAACTTATATATTACAAATTTGATTTAAACTAACTTATTTTCACTCACAATCAATATGATGTTAGTAGTAAAAAAATAGTAAAAATAATAATAAGATTACTAAAAATAATGCGTGAGTGAGGTTAAAGGTTTTAATTTGAGTTGAAAGAATTAGGAATTGAGAAGTCTTGATTACAATTATTCTAGAAATTTGTAGAATGTAATTTCAATTTTATAAATAATTTCTTTTGGACTGGGTTCCATCCAACTACGACCCAACATCGTAATGTTAGTAATATGCCTCACATGACATTAAATTCAATAATTGATAATTGTTTAAATCACTTGACAATGGGATATTTCTTTTTCAAATATTGCACTAATAATAATGTTTATTTTCAAATGATAGGTCAAAATTTGTACTCAGAAAATGATAGCTCAATTGAGTTATAAAAAAACCCGACTTATTATTATGAGGTACACACTCACTCAGATTCTTGACCATTTTTTTTTTAACTAAGTTTGCTACTTACTTGAAAATCAAAGTTATTGAATTTAATAACCTCCAAATTAACAACGACAGGAAGCATGAACAAGTAAAATTAAAAATGCAGTTCCTTTTCATATGTAATAATGATCGCTTTTCATATTTATCAAAAGCAAAAAATTAAGAAGCAAAATTTTACATTTTCATGTATAAATATTTCTTTGCATAATTCTAAATATTTGTTATCATTGTTGTGAAAATTAGGTCAAACTGATCAGTTAGAAAATCATTTTACATTGAATTAGTCAAAAATTAATAAAAATTTGTCAAAATTTGAAAAAAAAAATTGATCAAACTAATTTGAATCGATCTAATTAATTTTAAATTTTAATTTAAAATATTTTTAATAAAAATTACATTCAATAAAAAAAATTACAAGTTAAAATAACTTATTTTTAATATTTGTCTCATAAATATGATTCAATGATTTATGTTAATTTATAATTTTTAATATTTTTATTTTTTATACTAATTTGATACTTTTTATTCTAGATGTAAATTTATTATTATTAGTGAATATTGTTATATTTTATTAAAACTTGAATTTAAATATTATATTGTATATGATTTAAAATTTCACATATATATTAAATGTTAAGAATCTTTAAATAATATTATATTTTAGAGTTATAAAATTATAATATTATATATTTAGTATTATTTTTGTATTGATAATAATAATTATTATTATTTTATTAATATCGATTTGATCATGGTTGAACCATTGAACTTTAAAATAATGTCTAGATCAGTTCAATGACCAATCCAAATTTAAAAACATTACTTAGTTATAAAACATCCACTAATTATAGAGTCTTAGCTGTCTAGACTGAAAAACGACAATTAGTTTGCTTCAAAGAAACGTAAGTAACAATAACCAACATTCACTTTTCAAAGAAAAAATCAAGAAGCAAGAAAATTTCATATCTTTCATCTATAAATGTTTATTTAAATAATTTTAAATTATAATTAAAACACACAAAGAAAATAGAGGTATATGCTAGAAGAGATTCTATCACAAACAAACTAAAAAATCGGAAGTAAGTGAGAGATTAAAAAATGTAATTTTTATAAATTAAAAAAAGTATTCAAATTTAGATAAATATTATGGTATTATTTTAACAATCTTTTTAACAAATAATCTGAAATAGTTGACACAAAAAAAATAATTGTTTGTTTAAAATGATGTTTCCAAACTTGTTCATAATTATTCACCATGTATTAAAAACTTGTTTATATAAACAAATTAAATCATGACATATTTCAAGAAAAATTGATTAAATTTTATTAGGATAATCAAATATTTAAAGAAAATTACTTTTTATTACAATTTTTTTTATATAAACTATTAATTATAAAATAAATTGTTATGAAACGTCTGATGAGTATAATCTTAGTTGTCTAGATTGAAAAACGACAATTAGTTTGTTTCAAAGAAACGTAAGTAACAATAACTAACATTTTTTTCAAAAAAAATATTAAGAAGCAAAAGTTCATATCTCTCATCTATAAATGTTTATCTGAATAGTTTTAAATAATAATTAAAATACACAAAGAAAATAAAAGTTATATGCTAGAAGAGAATCTATCACAAACAAACTAAAAAATTGAAAATATTATGGTATTATTTCAATAATCTTTTTAACAAATAATCTGAAATAGTTGACACAAAAAAAAAATTGTTTATTTAAAATGATGTTTCCAAACTTGTTCATAATTATTCACCATGTATTAAAAACTTTTTTATATAAACAAATTAAATCATGACATATTTCAAGAAAATTGAAATTAATTTTTATTAAGATAATCAAATATTTAAAGAAAATTACTTTTTATTATAATTTTTTTATATAAACTATTAATTAAAAAAGAAATTGTTATGAAACGTCTGATGAGTATAGTCTTAGTTGTCTAAATTGAAAAATGACAATTAATTTGTTTCAAAGAAACTAAGTAACAATAACTAACATTTTTTTTTCAAAGAAAATATTAAAAAGTAAAAGTTCATACCTTTCATCTATAAATGTTTATTTGAATAGTTTTAAATAACAATTAAAATACACAAAGAAAATAAAAGGTATACATGTTAGAAGAGATTCTATCACAAACAAACTAAAAAATAAAAAATAAGTGGAAGATAAAAAAATGTAATTTTTATAAATTAAAAAAAGTATTCAAATTTAGATAAATATTATGGTATGATTTTAATAATATTTTTAACAAATAATCTAAAATAGTTGGCACACAAAAATTGCTTGTTTAAAATGATGTTTCCAAACTTGTTCATAATTATTCACCATGTATTAAAAACTTGTTTATATAAACAAATTAAATCATGACATATTTCAAGAAAATTTGAAATTAATTTTTTTTAAGATAATCAAATATTCAAAGAAAATTACTTTTTTATTACAATTTTGTTTATATAAACAATTAATTAGAAAAGAAATTGTTATGAAACGTCTGATGAGTATAGTCTTAGTTGTCTAGACTGAAAAGCGACAATTAGTTTGTTTCAAAGAAACGTAAGTAACAATAACCAACATTCACTTTTCAAAGAAAAAATCAAGAAGCAAGAAAATTTCATATCTTTCATCTATAAATGTTTATTTGAATAGTTTTAAATAATAATTAAAACACACAAAGAAAATAAAAGTACATGCTAGAAGAGATTCCGTCATAAACAAACTAAAAAATCAGAAGTAAGTGAGAAATAAAAAAAATGTAAGTTTTATAAATTAAAAAAAGTACACTTATTTCTTCAAATATAGATAAATATTATGGTATTATTTTAATAATCTTTTTAGCAAAAAATCAGAAATAGTTGACACAAAAAATAATTGCTTATTTAAAATGATGTTTCCAAACTTGTTCGTAATTATTCACTATGTATTAAAAACTTGTTTATATAAACAAATTAAAACATGACATATTTCAAGAAAAATTGAAAGATTTTTTATTAAGATAATCAAATATGTGAATAAATTTAATCTTTATT